GTTTAAAAAGTGGCAATATATGGAACCTGATTGGTTTTAAAAGGTATGAGATTTGAATAAGCTAAGTGATAGCTTGAATTTGAGAAATGATTTAGTATTTCGGATTCATATATTTGTTATTTATATGAATACTTGATTTTGTAATGATTTTGGTGATCCTTCACCCTGCAATGACATAAATAGGGTATCTCACTAGACTTTATAGTCTAACCCTCGTTTTGTGTTTTAAAATGTGTATTGCAGGAAGTGTGGAAGGTAAATGAAAGGAAAAGATTTAGTACTTTTCTTTCGTGCATTTTGGTTGAAGATCTGCTTTTGATGTGTAGCTCTGATGAATAGTACAAGATTGTATTTTGAATTTTTGGACCTGGTGTTTGGTCACAGCAGATTTCTTGTACTAGTGGACCCAATGTGTATATGAATATGTATTTCTTTGGTATGGAATATGTATTACATGCAATGTGTGGCTTGGGGCGTTACAATGGGTTAAAATTAGGGGTGAGCAGCGGAATCGGGTACTCGTTTGCGGAACCGAAACCGCCTTGGAACCGTCGGTTCTGGAACCGGAACCGATATGAGTGGTTCCGGTTCTGGTTCCTAAAATACGGAACCGATTGAGAACGGTTCCTGTTCCGGTTCTCAGTTTTTCGGAACCGTTACCCGCCGGGTACCCGGAACCGGCGGTTGTTTTTCAATAAAAAAATAATTGATTTTTTTCAATACCAAATTTATATTAAGTTACATCTTCAAATGACGCGGTCATCTTCATTCTTCATTTACTCTCTAGTTCTACTAAACTACAGTTCGTAGTATGTCATCGTTAAGTTTTGAAAATTTACAATTATAGTATATAATCGTTAAACTTTGAACATTTTCTATTAGTCTATTATGGTTTGTAATCGTTAAAACAATATTTGTAAACATTATTCCGTATAATTTGTATTCTTGTTTATTTAATTTAGTGTTTTGACAATATTTTATTTTTATTTTTAAATAACAAAATTTTAATATTTTAGGAAGCGGGTACCCGGAACCGGAACCGGTTCCCGGTGGTTCCGGTTCTCGTTCCAAAAATTCAAGAACCGCTCTAACCGGTTCCGGTTCCAATATCTCAAGAACCGCCGGTTCCAGTTCCGGTTCCTGCCAAAAAGGGCGGGTACCCGCCTATGCTCACCCTTAGTTAAAATAGGCCCCTCGTGCCTGGTTTGACACTCTTTCTTCATTTCTCATCTCTGAGAAATTTGTTCGTGGAAAGATTGACCAAACGTTATTTCTTAAGAAAGTCAAGGGTCACATCATTCTAGTCAAAATTCATGTCGATGATATTATATTTGGTTCCACTAATCTCTATTCATGTTTTCGTTTCTTTGAACGCATGAAGAAAGAATATCAGATGAGCATGATAGGAGAACTGACATATTTTCTAAGTCTTTAGATTAAGAAAACTGATAAAGGAATATTTATCAGTCAGAGTAAGTATGTTAGGGATATGTTGAAGAAATTTTACTTAACCAACAATTCATCTATGAAAATTCCTATGGATCCTCATCTCTTGCTGAATAAGGATCCAAATGGAAAGCATGTAAACGTTATTGCTTATAGAGGAATGATCGGATCCTTATTGTATCTTACAGCTAGCCGACCTGATATCATGTATTCTACCTGCCTTTGTGCAAGATATCAATCTGAACCCAAAGAATCTCATCTGATTGCTGTAAAACGCATATTCAGATATTTGCAGGGTACTTCTAATTTGGGCCTTTGGTATTCTATAGACTCAGGTTTCGACCTAATCGGTTATATATATAGTGATTTTACATGTTGCAAGATAGCTAGGAAGAGCACCATAGGAGTCTGTCAGCTTCCTGGTGGAAAGTTGGTGAGCTGAATAAGTAAAAAGCAAAACTCAGTGTCCACATCAACTGCTGAAGTTGAATATGTACCCACTGGAAGCTATTGTGCTTAAATTCTTGGGATGAAAAATCAACTTAGTGATTATGATCTTCATTGCGATAGTACCCGTGCCATTGCCATTGCAAACAATCAAGTACTTCACTCTAAGACCAAACATATAGTGATCAGATATCATTTTATCAGAGATCATGTTATTAATGGTGATATTGAACTTCACTTTGTATCCACTAAGTACCAACTAGCTGATCTGTTTACAAAATCTCTTGATGAAATAAAATTCAATATTTTAGTCAGCGAACTTAGAATGCTAAATGCTGAGGATTAATTCCTTCAGCTCTAAGCATCACTAAGTGATACAAATTGAAATGATCCGGTGTTTCTTATTCTATCATTCGGACTCTTAAGTTAACTATATCTTTCTCTCTAAGGTATGCTACTTATCTCTTTTCTTTTTTTTTCCCTCAAAACTTAAAACTATTACTAAACATTTTTCTTATTAACATGAAAAGAAATCATGCAAAAATATATTTTTTAACCGATTATCAAATGTTTATGATCTTTTTGTGGTTCTCAGTTGATTTAGTCTATATATCGTAACCGGTAATAACGAAAAAGCGTACATTCATATCCTAACCATTAAAATGTATGGTAAACAAGTAATGAGTAAGTAGATAAATGAACAAAAAATTTATTTATCCATATTCTAATCCAACAGGTCGAAATATAACAGATAACGAGTTTCCTTTTATCCATGATGGCCGTACCAATTATATATACACAATATTTAAAAATTAAAAAATTGGGTGTAAATACAACACCAGTTTTGATTTGGTAAAATGGAATGGAAAAACAATATTTCTTGCTCAGCTTTGGGCACTTACCATCTTCGCCCCAAATTCAATTCAAATCTCACTCCGGTCTTGAATTACTGCTTGAATTAAACAAGGGAATTGCCATACCTAACGTCTTCTGCATATTGTCTTCATCATCGATCTGATCTGATCTCATCTGATCGATCAAAATCTAGAAAAAATGGCGATGGCGAGGGCAAGCTCTGGCCTCGCATACCCTGATCGTTTCTACGCTGCTGCTACTTATGCGGGCTTTGGTGGGTCTCCTAATTCATCTTCCAAAGGGGTCACCTCCAAATTCTCTAACGACGTCGCTCTTTTGCTTTACGCCTTGTATCAGCAGGTTTTATTTCACATTCCCTTTCGTTTATTTAACATCTTTCTCCATAATTCTCAATTGCTTAATTTTTCTGAATTCCTTTGAATTGATCTACCGGTAGTTGTGTTTTATAATTAAATTACTTGCTTTGAACTTCAATTGGTCTGGGATTTTGAAATTGTTATAACTAGGAAAGAGATTCTTGCCATGACAAATGAGAATTCTATGGTTTTGGATTAAAGAAACGAGAAATTTAAGTGTGCTTTACGAAATTATGATCTTTTTGCCCCTTTTCCCATCTGATGTGAAATGAGGGATTCATCATAATAGTACAACTGTGCTTGCATTAGCTACAATGTCTAATGTAATGCATCACTCTTTAATATCTGCATGTTCATTAAAATTTGTCTTTCCCTTCTTTGTGCAAACTGAACACCTTCATCACTCTATTCCTAGTATTTTTATGAAGTAATGTAATTACCTTAACTTTTTGATGAAATTCAAAACTCTTATCAGTGAAGGAGCTGAAAAGCAACCCCACTTAGACATGCAATTCAGATTTTAGTTTTTTTTTCATATTCATTTTTAGGAATGGAGGGAGAATAAAAGAATAATGGTTGGCTGTTGCAGTAACACAGTGCAAATTGTTGACTTCAGGAATTTGAGATTGAGAATCTTGTGGAGCTGATTGAAATCTGTGGCAGTTTGAATGCTACTATGCAAGTTGAATTGAACACAAATGAAATATTTACTGTTTCATTAAAAAAGTTAATTTTATGATTGTTCCTCTCTAGTTTGTGTAGTTTTAAATGTAGATTATGTACCAGCTTAGCGATTAGAAACTTTGTATTAGAGACTTCCGAGCGTAATACAGGATTTGGCCACTTTGCTAGTTACCTTTGAGCTATCTTCGAAGGGTGTCGCTCCTCCTTGTGCTCCCAAATTGCATAAGGCTTGAGTGCATAAAAGTTCACACATGGCACATCATTGGCCATTTCCTGAACTGTTGATGATAAATGCTAGAGGATATGACGTTACTGATACGAAAGTGGTATTTGTGGCATTTTTGTGAAAAAAAGACGGAGAGGTGTGAGAATGAGAAGCTAGGGCTCATGAACGAATTACCATGGCAAAATGGGGTGATGGGGCTGCCTATGGAGACGATAAGAGGGATAGAAGATATGTATATGATGATGACGATGACGATGAAGAAAACGGCCCTGACACGGATGATGTCTTAAACACCTTTTCAAGGTTTTGCTTGTTGATGGCATAATTGAAGCCCAAAGCTGACAGAGTATTTGAAAAGCAGTCATTGGATGTAGGAGAATGATCGAACCCAAACCTAGCTTGAACCAAGCTTTAAGTTCATCAACATTCTCACCGTTGACGCTCTTGCTTCACGGACATCCAGGTGATTGCCTTTGCACTTTGGGTTGACCAATTTGTCATTTTGATGTAGGATCGATGACCAACATATTTTTTGTAGCCAGGGGAGGCTGGTGGTGGCATAGATAGTCTGGTGGTTATATGGGGAAGCCACTAGGTGAGGCAAAGGCTAGGATTGGTCCGCTGATCTTGTTAAGGTGAGGGCTCATGGGTCTAGGTTAGAGATCCTGATGTCAGTTTCTGACCCAGAATTGATTTGTTGGACAAGAAAGTAATCTACAAAGGAGTAGAGGAGAAAAAAATTGAGATCATCTCACTATTTTGTTGATGGCTTCAAACATTGCGTTTGTTTTATAAAAAAATGGACAAGAATATGTTATATGTGGCTTGTGCATGAATCTTCCAAAAAAATTCCAGTTCTCGATGATACCTTGGAACATCAATGTTGGAACTTCAAGGAAATTGGATATGCATAAAACGCTTCTTATGGCTTGATTCAATATATAAATATGTTGTACGAACATTAATGACAAAGTCTGTTTTGTTATAAACCACATTGTATTTTCATGCTTTACTGATTAATCATCTCACTTAGATTACAAACTGTTTATCATATGGATTAAATAGATTAATAATTTTCCAGAAACTGTTTTAGAACCCTCTTTCTAGCTTGCGGTTACCTTTTTGACGATAGTATGAGTATTTGACTATGCAAATCTATCTATATCTGTGTATCTATCTACCGGCCTATCAACACATATACATACATGTTGATGTGCTTGTGTATGTATATTGTGCATTCATACACAGGGGCGGAGGCAGGAATATTACTCAGGGTGGTCCTCTTAAATATAAATCAATAAAAAATTAATATTAGTAGCAACATTCAGTAAAAAATAAATGCATGTAATTAACTAGTTTCATTACAAAATGGAACACTAACATTTACTTACTCAACATTACAAAAGGCAGAAGGCATTGCTTAAACAATAATAAAATAAGAGTATAACACACCATCAACATACAAAAGGCGGTAAACGCTACTTAAGAATCTGGGCGTTACGTAACAGTTTCTGTAAATATTATTTAGCCCATGTAAAAGAAGTTTGGAAATTAATTGAGGTTACTTTAGTTGAAGCTTGGCCTACTGTTTGGTGAAAGACTTGAGGTTAGTATCTATAGAAATCAATTATTTCGCTTGTATGATAAAACTATTTCATAGAGTTTGAGGGTGAGCATGGGCCAACCCTTGGCCCATATAGGGAAAATGAGTATGTGGCTTTCTACACGTAAACTATGTAGTTTTCCTTCATTTTATTCGCCTCCTTATTTCCACTTCACTCTCTCCTTGAACACACCTTTATATCTCCTCTTCAGTACAATGAAGACCATGCATGCAGTCTTACGGTCTTAGCTTCATGTATTGGACATCCTATGATATGGTTTTTAAATGAAGTTTACAATGTTTTTTTTTTACTTCTATTAGTATCTTCATTGGTTACTTGGTTATTAATTAAATGGGTAAACATATATGGAACCGTTTACTGCTAACTTTTTATCCAAATATCAATCAAAATAACTTAAATTTGATTTATGACCAGTGGTAATCTTATCCACATGTTAGCCATATATTCCATTTCCTTACACACACACACACACATATATATATAAATGTAAATATATTGAGGTATTCCACACTATGAATGGTGCTTAAGGAAGGAGCTCCCCACACGCATTCTTGTGTAGGTCCACCTAGTGGGACTTGCTTGTCGTGTGAGAGGATTCTTCCTTAAACATCATTCATGGTGAGATACTTCTAATGCTACTACCCTTGTATATATGTAGGGATGTGTGTGTATGTATGTATTATTTTTATTTTGCTATCTTTGTGTGTACACATGTATATATGTGTGTAGGGGAGGGTTCAAATGAGAACACTAGAAAGGTTGAGATGGTGCAAACATTCCTCAACTATTTGTTTAGATTCATCAAGGGACAAGATTAATGGTGACATATTTGTAAATACTTGGATGATGGCGGCTTTTTTCAAATCAATTAAGAAGTTGAGAGGGCAAGATAAGAAATGGGTTACCCCATTTTTTTAAATCCATAAAAAATTATCAAAATTGGAATCAAACAAATTATACCAAAAAAACGAGGACTTTTCTCCTCTTGAATTTGACACCCTTGTTGTTATATATTTTCATTCTTTTTTTAACTGTTTTTTCTCCATCCATGTGAAGCTCCATATAATTGGTTGCGACGGTTTCCTTCTGTTACGAGTAAAATCACATATGTAACTGTATTGTAAAATTGTATGCAGTCCATATATGGAACTTCACAATATATGTAGCTTTACATATGTAACTTCAAATATATGCAACCTCACATGTGAAGCTCCATATGAAGCTGCACACTATTTACAATACTTCATATGTGAAGATATGAAGCTACATAACATTACAATACAACTTCATATGTGATATGACAGGATAGGACAACACATAATAGGTGTTCAATGTTTAGTAAGACTGAACCAGATGGGACAAAACATATAAAATGACCAATTTACCCCTAATGAGTTGCTTATGTATTTTAATTAAGTTATGTATTTATTAGATTATGATAAAATAAATACTTTTTATAACAAAATATATCATTAGAAAGTTTTCGTCAAGACGATTAAAATGACATCAATATAAAAAGTTTATCAAGTTCCCAATTTTTATTTTATACCTTTTTTTTTCAATTATCAATATTTAATAAATTACATTAATTAACCAAAATATGGAAACCATATCAAAATAATATTTTGAGGACAGTAAAGTGGAAGTTTACAAAGCATAAAATAAAACAAATAAAATTTAAAGAATGAATAAATGTAAAGAGGGAGGCATATCTAATGTTTTAGAAGAGAAATAGTTTTTATTTGGAGGTTATATTGGTAAAATATAGGTCTGTTAAAGTGAAAGTTTACAAAGCATAAAACGAAACAAATAAAATTCAAAGAATGAATAAATGCAAAGAGGGAGGCATATGTGATGTTTTAGAAGAGAAATAGGTTTATTTTGAGGTTATATTGGTAAAATATAGGTCTGTTCCACCGGGTGGGGGTGGAACACGCATGTTCCACTCTGTTCCTTTCTGTTCCACATAAAAGTCCTGCCATACATGGAACAATGACCAGTTCTATTCTGTTCTGTCCAGTCCAGTATACCAAATGCGCCCTTATGGTACAACTTCGTATGTGATTTTACTTGTAACAAAAGGAAACTGTGATAACCATTCAAATGGAGCTTCACATGGAGCTTCATAGATGGAAAAAAATGGGATTAAAAACGAATGAAAAGGTATAACAATATGGGTATCAAATTAAAGAGAATAAAAAATGGTTCTTCTTTTGGTATAGTTTGTTTGACTTCAATTTTGATCATATTTAGTATACTTTAGATTTATAAACATAGGATAATCCATTTTAGTTTAAAAGATAAAGATTTATTATATTATAATTTACTAAATTCAAACAATTTCCGGTGGAAATATAATTCTAAATGAAAACATTAAAAAAATTGAAACCTAATGAAAGATTTCCGGATATACGTAATCTTCCCTGATTAGATTGGTGATAAAATTACTAATATTTCCTTCAAGCAATGAAAAGGGTAAGTTAAACACATTCCTTTAATCGAAATGGTCTAATGGTTGAGGACTGTTTGCACATCCTCAACCCTTTACCATTCTCATCTGAGCCTCCTTGTATGTGTGCTTATATGCATCTTTATTCCCAAAATCTTTCAAAATTTCTGAATCCAAACATAGCTTCTGAGATATGCTTTTGTTAGTGAATAGGTACCAGCCTTTCTTTTTCAATCAAAGTTTATATGTAGGATGGTAATTTGATATAGGGAATTTTGTTTCAAATCAGGCAACTGTTGGACCTTGTAACTTACCAAAACCAAGAGGTTGGAGTCCGGTGGAACAAAGCAAATGGACAAGGTTTGTTTCTTTAAGCTACTGAATGCATATGCAATCCTTTTTTAATGTATGAACTAAAATATGATAAAGGCTTCATGTCACTTGCCAGCTCAATTTTCAGTTGCATGCTAACCAAGATTGATTAGATTACACATTTTTTAGTTGTTGGATGCTTTCTTGCTGGAGCCTGTGTTGTCATTTGTGATTACATTATATGAAACATTTTGATGTACTATGGAAGAGAACTACTTAATATTTACATAGCTGCTTAGCTATTCATGCTGTTGTGTCTTTGTCTCTAGATTACTCTGGTTACTCTATTTTGTTGCTCCTAGATCCCATCGTTTTATGGGCCATTGTCTTCAATTTTGATGCATGTTCATACGGACATTATTGTCTCTCCACCAAGATTGTACTCTTAATTAGAGGAGCAATATGTAAGGAACCCAACAAGTTAAGAATATATATTTGACCTTGAGATGCCTAGCAGAAGTTAAAAGGTGTAAACAAACAATTATGACACATGTAAAGTACCTCTCAAGTTACATAGATTTCAATTGAACCTTTTTTGGTTGAATCAACATTGTCTGTGCATCTTGGATTTGAAAGCTTTCTTCCCCTAAACTGGGATTCAACCATCCTTTTTTTTATGGCATGTTTTGGCTTTTAAGATATTTTCTTAATCAACTTTTGGTTTGTTGGACACCTATTTGTTCCTCAAAATATTTCATAAGCAAGTTTGGATGCTTTAACTGAATCCGAAACCCGTCCTAGAATGAAACTACTTCATAAAAGAAAGTTGTAACTTAATAGTACTTGATGAAGACTTGGTGAATTAGTTTTGAATGTGGGAGCATAATAAAAATTGAGAAAATGAAATCCTTTACTTCTTTACACCTTTTTATGTCAATCAAGTTCAGCTGATTGAATAACTTTAGGTTTAAGTCATTGATACATGCTTTCCTGTTTACTTTCTCATTTTCTTGCCGGAAACCTAACCACTGGAGTCAATTATTTTCCACACACAGCAATGAGTGAAACCAATGATCTGGTCAGTGATCATGGAGAAGGGAAAGTTAAGCGTCTTGCTAACTCTTGAGCAGGATCATTCAGTGATCTTCAACCATCCTCTCAGTTAGGGGCTAGTCAAGAATTTGTTATACAAATGCTTGAATAATATCTGTTTTCCCTGTTTCTATTGCAGTTGGAATGGTCTTGGAACCATGGCTTCCATTGAAGCGATGCGCCTCTTTGTAAAAATATTGGAGGTATATTTAATTTATCGTTTATCTTATCTTATCTTAAATTAAAATATTATATTCTAGACCTCCATTAAGTTATCTTATGTTTATCCTTAAGTAGGAAGAAGATCCAGGATGGTACTCAAGGATATCCAACTTTATTTCAGAGCCTGTTGTAGACGTAGAGATGAATGTGAGTCTGCAAAATGTTTTGCTTCCCTTAAGCCCTTGATTGTAGTATAATATTTCTTTTGTAAAATATATGTGGGGTTGGTCTGTTTGGTTTACTTTGTCCTTGTCAAGTAATTTGGTATGCTTCCTGCCAGCAGCAGATTATAGTCACAGTTATCAAACGTCAATAGTTAAAGTTGAAATGAATAGTATCATCTGAGGAGGTTTGGTGATTAGGTACCTAAGAAAACCTCTATTGCGATTTCTGCAGAAACCACGTATCTAAAGGTAAGGTTGTCCATGTTATCCTGGTAGGGTCCCTTTGCATCCTCCATAGCACTTTCGGTGTGTAGATGGAACGGTGTGAGATAAGAGGTGACAGCAACCAAAGAGCCAATAGTCATGGATCTTATGCATCGTCATGACTGTAATCTGAATGTTAAACACAAAACAGCCATTTACGTCCATCTATTGATAAACAGTTACAATTTTGAGAAGACTAAGTAGGTACTGTATTCTCTATTGTAGATATAGCTTAGTATTAGTAAAATGGCTGCACCAACTTATGATCTTGTTTGGGCTTGGCTTGTTATAGGGCCATTCTTGTGGACATTCCTTGTGCTTTGGTATCTCGCCTGATGAGAACCCAGTTTGAGACGCTTGATAGCATCTCAATTGTTCAGTTGCTAGTTGCTACAGTAAGATAATTTGTATAATATTATATACAAATGTTGGTTAAACATAATTCATGGTTAAGTTCTGTCATTTGGTCCCATCAACAATGCTATCATTATTTTGCCATGGGGTCAAATATGTCTTGCTTCTTTCTTCACATCCTTTTCTGTCTAGGAGTATAAAGTGAGAAATCTGTGGCCCACTCGTTTGCTGAATCTGTACCTTGCTTTTATTGACACTTTAATGATGAAAAACACAGTTAAACTGAAGAGAAATGGATACTAATGAAACTGGAGAGGGAAAGGGCATGGTGCAGGCATTTGTGTTAAGTTGATCTTTAGAATATAGTTTACTCGAGTAATATGATCACTAATTTCATCTCTTGTAGGAACACAAGGAAAATTTTGTTCTTGGAGCGTGAACAATTGCACCAGGAATGCATGGTGGGATGCCATGTGATAATTTCTTTCAGTTATTAGGAAAAATGGAAATGTTGCATTCCTACTACATGTTTCTTCTTGTTTCTATTCAAGAAGAGAATCCTGCTATATATAAGTTGATCATTGATGCATGTACATTCACAATTAATGGAGCAGAAGTTAATTCCGGCATTTTTACTATTCTTTTAGTACACCACGACACCTAGTTCACCATCCTGTTATGTATTAGTTGAAGTATGTGTGGAAATCAAGTGCATCTTTTTTGCACTTCTGTTTTGTTGGAAGGTCACACGCACACAAAAAAAAAAAAAGAACTTACCATGAACCATTTGATTAGATGGTGGCATCATGTTATTAGTCACCTAGTTTCTCTCCATTGGAGTCATTGATTTTTCTTTTTGTGGTACATCTTGATGTATAAAGAGCCCAATGAAATCCAACGATCGGGTGCCATTTTCACCTTCCCTTTCATAGAGGTTGTGGTTGTGAATATAGCCGAACGCTCTACCCTTTTCGGGTAGAGGTCAGATCTGCATCTATCTTATACCTCCGGGACCCTACTTTTGAGTGGGATTTACTGGATCAGTTTGGTTTATGGTTGTCAATATCTGCTCTATGGAATATGGTTACTCTTGCTGTGCGAATTTGAATTATTTAATGATGAAATAGTTGCTTACTTTACTAAATACACCTGAATTTCACCCTTTAGTGCACGGTAGAGAGAGGGTGTGGAGGAGAAAAGAAACGAGAGCTCAATACGAAACAGCTGAGCCTTACAACCTTATAGATTAAAGTGCGTTAAGACATATGGGGATGTTTTTTCTTGTCATGAATGTAATTCTCAGTTTAATATTAACTAATCCAGTCTCCTTTCGTTTTTTTCATCTGGTGTAGCATAATTCAAAGATGGGGTTACCCACTAAGGGTGAAGTTGCTTTGCCTGAAACGAAAACCATCCCCTCCGAGAATGGGAATTCTGGGGAAACTCAGGACAAAGATGTAATGGTGGAAGGACTTGGTTCTGTTGGTGTGTATGACCAATGGGTTGCCCCTCCGGTCTCTGGTCCACGTCCAAAGCCCCGATATGAGGTATTAATTTTCTTTCAGTTCCCATTCTAGTTGATTGGCTCTTTCTTCTTATTTTACCTTTTCTGAGCATACTTTTAAAATTGGCAGCATGCAGCAGCTGTTGTTGATGATAAAATGTATATATTCGGTGGAAACCATAATGGACGTTACTTAAATGATCTTCAGGTATGGGACTCTATGCATTGATGCAGGAGAATGAGTCACTCAATTAGTCTTGTTCATTTTTTGGGAAGAAGTTGATTTATACTGATGGTGATATTACAAAGAGATCCACAATTGATGATTACATATGGTTATAAAGGCTTAAAAGGAAGGAATTTTTCCTTTTCCAAATCGAAACAGACAATGATGTCCATTGCTACTACACTTTTGAGATGAGACTGATCTTTAAACACTAATAAATGCAACTAGATTATTGAGAATATCTTGATGCTTCAAATGCTTTAAGCAAATCTTGAAAACTACATGTTGACATCCGAAATCCCCTTGCTTGCTTATCTTGAAATTGGAATTTCGGCAACAAATTCTAGGACATGTTTGTGATCCATGCCTTTTCTACCAAATGCTTAATGGGAGATTATAAAGCTAGTAACACAAGCGCACAGCCTATTGAACCAGACAAAATCAACTGAATAAATGAATACTAAATTGACATCCTAACCTTGGGTGCAGGGTCCCAATCAATCGAACACCAAAGTGAATCACCATTGGGAAAAAACAATAGCTCACCCGGTAACATGAACGAAGATATTGAACTAAAATGAGCCTAACTGGAGATAAGATGATGAGATCCTATGCTGCCTTAGAAATTCTACCTTTCTCACTTGAAGAAAATGAGCACCAAATATTGAATGGCCAAAATTGGAACCAACAAAACATACCTTCCAATGAACCTGGGATGAGACTTTCCCAGATTGTCCAACTTTCTTTGCTCTTATGGTGAAATACTAGAGGTTGTTTGTTGTGAATTGGTTTGGACATCTATTTAGGCAACCGATAGGAGAGAATGGATGGTCAAACAAAGGATACCGTCAGTTGTGACGAGGTTCGGATGATTGCCGAAAAGATGGTGAGCGGAGGACCTTCAACGTGAATGGTGAGACTGGTTGGTGGCTGCACACAGTGGACCATTGTTTGACATTGACTAATGGTTGGAGTAGGTGGGAAATGGGAGTTAGCCACTGAATCTTCAGTGCAAATGAAGATGACTGAAGTGGGGAAGGCCAATTGAATCATCTGATGCGGCGGGGTTAGCTTTTTTGATGATGTGACTGAAAATTGGGATTAGAAAGTTTACAAGTCGCAAAATTGGAAATGTAGGCTAAAATAGAAAATAAACTAGATTTGATGAGTGCAAAAGAGGAAAAACAAGACAACACAATCATCTACTGACAACAGCAATAGCATGATAACGCCTTGGTTCTAGTGTGTGCTTGTTTTATATTTAATGCATGAATCATGAAATAACTTCTTTCTTGTAAGTTTTATGCTTTTATGCACACACATGTATACACATATATAGATACACCTCACAGCCTTAACTTTTTAGAATCTCCAACCCATGGTATCCATGTATCCGCACCTCCAAGTGGATAAAAAAATAAATGCAACAGTTCTTATTTTAGGTTGTCCCAAGATAAATACATTGTTCTTTTTTTTTTTTGGCAAAGTTTCACTGCATTATGACCTCATCATTATAAGATACTAATGGCATTAATTTTGCTGACAAGATTCCTCTATTTTGTTTTTACTGAGGCGCAGTTTAGACACTTGACAAGTGGTCAAACTTCTACAATTCATTTGTTTTGGGATGGAGGGAATGGTATCACTGTATTTACATAGAAAAGTTGTGTTTATATATCCGTAACTACTTCTAGAAGTTACAGCAGTACCCTGTTCTATCTACTGGTGTTAATGTCTTAGTTCTCTCTTTAATTTTGTGTTAGAATTGTTTAAATTACCTCTTTCTTCTTGCTATTGATTCAGCATAGTTAGGTGTACTTAGTGAGGGTTTGTTGCAGACACTTGATTTACGAAATTGGACATGGTCAAGGATTGAAGTTAAAGCAAACTCTGAGGCTCCAGCGGCAGTTACTCCTTGTGCAGGGCATTCTTTGGTCAGTATCTAGATCTGTTTCTTCAATAGAATTGAGTTGAGTTTGTTGTCTAATACAATGGTTGGATATGTAGATACCATGGGAAGGGAATAAGCTTTTATCAATTGCAGGACATTCAAAGGATCCTTCCGAAGTTGTTAATGGTTTGTTTGAACTTGAACCTTTGTTTTCATTATAACCAAGAATAATAGGCATCTAAAATTCCAGTACTTATTTTTGTTAGCTGTCTATTAGATAAATCTAAACTTCATTACTTATTGTTGGTGGCCATTTGCTGAATGTAAAGTCATAAGGCAGACTACCGTAGACCATCCAGAGCCTTGTATCAATACTAAAAGTTGGTAAATATGTTATCACATTTCATATTAAAAAGGTTGGGGTGGTTACTGATTTGTGGATGCTATGTTCAACTATTGTTGCATAAACTTACATGAGGCATCGACTCAGAAACGAATCCTATTAACAGTAGAAAAGGCGAATCATGAATTCTATTTTCCAGCAGCAAATTGAGGACCACATATTTTGTTGCCTTTCTCGATTTAACCAGAATGCGTGTTTAAACCCACACTTTTAGCCTAGTATTTGTTTGAAAGCCGGCTCTACCAGAATCTAGGATAATGATTAAAAGACCAAAAACAGACTCAGCAAGCTGCCAATGAAAAGTTCCACCTTATAGTGCAAGGAACACGACGTCTACCTGTGAAATCACACAGTTGGAAGTGTGTGACTTTTGTGCGACTTGTCAAATTGCCCAGTCTGAAGTGTGTGACTTGGTCTTTGGGCCAAGAATATCATGTAGTCGTTACATGCACAAGGTGCAATCATTCTTACTGACTTAGCTAATTCAATTCTTTCTACTGGGAAGCCCTTTTCTAATGATACGAAAAGAATCCTTTTTTTTAGCAACTTGCATTCGACCTCAGAAGTTGCATGCCAGGTCACCGGCACCTCGGTTTGCCTAAAAATAGAAGACCAGGCGCCACTGAAAGTGACTTGGGAAGTCCCTTGGAAGTCGCCTATGGCATCAGTCAATTGATATTTGTCAATTAGAGCAAGTCTTATTGGCTTTATATGTACTTCTCGAAATAGGCATATTGGCTGCTAGTTCTTGAGCTTCTTATTGATCTTGTAAGTAATCTTGTAATCTCCCATTTGATTTGTACTAATGTGATCGATCTTTCCTCCCATGTGGGCATACACTTTCACATCAATAGTGGAACCATATTGATCTCGTGTCATTTACATGCTTTTCGATATCTCCATTGCATTGTGAAGTTGTTTATGTTTTTGGTTGCATATTGGTTATCATTGTGGTTGGCTTTAGAAAGCACACGATTTTGATTCCGTTTTAATATTGGTAATTTCGGATGTTACATTGAATTTCAACTTGTGGTTGCATTGTGGGAGTTGAGAACACTGATGTATTTGATTGGTAACACTCCCTAACATGGCCATCCTCAACTGACTTGGTAGTTGGTACATATTCTTGTCGTTGTTGGTGAAAATGAATATTAGAGAACACTTGTAAACGAACATTTTAGAAAATCTGAAATAGAGAAGGTTTGTGTTCATCTTCTTTGAAGGCGATCTTTTTTCCCAAATCCCAGTTAACCGTGGAACCTTTTCATAGCCAGGTGTTCTCTTCTTTTCTCTTGGAAGTATGTTTTCTTTTCTTTGAAATAACAAAGGACGGATGTTTTCACTTGTTATTTGTCTTACTACAAATGTATCCATTTGTATTTTATACAGCAAGAAACCCTAATCTATCCTGGCCCATACCAAATCATATCTTTGATATTCTTGACAGTCTGCTTTACGAATGAAAGACACCTTCTACAGACTGCAATTTGGCTTTTGCATTCAGTCAGTTATAAAGTTATTACTAGACGCATAACAGAAAATACTTAACAAGTTGGTGGTTTACTGTCATATATTGACAAACATACTATTTATTATTTAAGTTTTAAGGTCCATGAACCGTTTAAGTTATATATCTTTGCAAGCACCAAATACTGAAATAAAATGTTCATTACAGAACTGTATCCACCTTTCTTTTTTCTTTTTTGTAAAATTGAACTTTGGATATACTTATTCTGGTATATATGATAACATCCTTTTATTTTAACAGTGAGGGCATTTGATCTGCAAACATGTACTTGGTCAACCATGAAGACCTACGGGAAACCGCCGGTATGCATTTATCATCCCTTGCCATTAGTTTTATTTTCTACTCTCATACGAGAAACCATCAATACAATAGATTGTCATGTAGATGTGAAACATCCAATCCTTTTAAGTGCACCTACAAATTAAAATATTGATTCATAGATGCAGTATGTAACCCAATGGATCAGCCAAGTTAAAATGTATCAACCATATGAATTGATGTAATGTGTAGATCAAATCCATTTCTATGGTCAACACAAAGAAAAATGTAAACTACAAATGATAAAACTTATTAATATATGTACTTCATGACTTCCTAAAGCGTCAACACCTCGATTTTTTTAACTAAAACATATACTTGGCCGGCCTAAGCAACACTAGACATTGATAATATGATGTTGCTTGTACCACTAATCTCTAAAACATAGTACCTCAACTCTTATGATAAACATAATATTTTACAATATATCTTTTACAATGTAACATAAGTTTAAATCCAATTTTTACTGTAGAAAAATAGAAACTTAAAAACCAAAATTGAGATCAAATAGTTCTGCATATCAAGTGTCAAAATTAATCAATTAAAGCGTCAAACAACATTCCAAATTATTTGATGTTATGTTTAAAAAACTTAATTCACATGAAAAGTAAAAAATAAATACAAAAATGAATGTAAAAAACGGACATGCAAAAATTTTCAACTAAACACAGTTTTTTACTTTGAATTTGGAGCTTTATTTGTTATGAGAATAGTAGTAATTTTGTCAAGGGTTGAGTCGCAATGAAGATTTATAGTGTACAAATGAATTACATGTGGGGTAACTTGTTTATAAAAATTTGTTTAACCATTGTAACAAAATGTAGATGTTGTGCATTAATAACTTATACAGTCAAATACAAATATTTTAGTTTGTACAGTACAAGTTGTTTTGTAAAATGCTACATGATCAAATTCTAAACATGTTTTTGTTTTGTGATGGTATTGCAGGTTTCACGTGGAGGTCAATCAGTTACACTTGTGGGGACTAACTTAGTCATATTTGGTGGACAAGATGGAAACAGGACTCTCTTGAATGACCTGCACATTTTAGATTTGGAAACCATGACCTGGGATGAAATTGACACACTGTAAGATGTTTACTCAGTCATCCTTATGTGCATTTGTATATGCTTTTAGGAAGTACGCAAGTATTTCATCATAACTGAATCTACAACCAACTCTGTAACGAAATGATAAGCTTTTTGGTGGGTGATTGGGACAAATTCTGGAAATGTAGTTACAAAAAAGACCACCTTGTTATTTTTTATCCAAGATTGTTCATTCTTGTGAAGCGTAGTGTTTTTTCTTACATTTTCACAAAAACAATGAATTGTTTGCAATGAAAAGCCAAGTACAATTGTTCTCAAAGTCAATCACTTGTTTGTTAGTTCTACTGCTTCGGATATCAACATATTCTTATCTCTGATTGTGCCTATTTACTGCTATAAACTTGGTATTTATAGCATTTTTACCTCCATATATAATGGCAGTTTTGCTTTTATAATGAACACTTGAGAATTTGTAATCCAGATGTGCATTGTCATTTATCTGAAGAAAGTTCAATTCACAACTGTCTGGTATCATAACCTGAATAGTCATGCAAACATGCCACATATTTACTGTGCATTTCTACCTAATATGTTGTTTTCCTATTTATGCAGAGGTGTTTCGCCTTCTCCACGGTCTGACCATGCTGCTGCAGTACATGCAGAGCGTTATCTTCTAATATTTGGTGGTGGCACACATGCAACTTGTTTCAATGATCTTCATGTCCTTGATTTGAAAACTGTGAGATAACGGAATCATATTTGATGTTACTGTCAAACTTGAACTTCATTAATATTTATATGGATATCTGATGTTTTTTAGATGGAATGGTCAAGACCAACCCAACAAGGAGAGATACCAAGTCCACGAGCTGGCCATGCTGGTGTGATCGTTGGAGAGAGTTGGTTCATTGTTGGTGGTGGAGATAACAAGAGTGGTATGTATCTGAGGATGAAAAGCTTAATACCTGGACTGAGATACCCTTCTGAATGGTGCCTTGGGAGTTCTTTTCACATTTTTTTCCTTTACATTCCTAATTTTAGTGGTAATTGCGTCTTCGTTGTTTCTTGCAGGAGTTTCAGAAACTGTTGTCCTCAACATGTCTACTTTGTCTTGGTCCATCGTAACAACTGTTGAAGGGCGCGCTCCTCTTGCTAGTGAGGTATTTTCTTGCAAGAAAAATTAATTTGACATTTTTTTAGTCACAGTAAAGTGGAAGGGAGGGTAAGATAAGGGTGTTAAAAAGCATAAGATAAATTCTTGTATTAACAAAGCACTCCTTGATACTTGACTGACTGTCTTGTGCAGTAAAAAACTATTTGTAGCAATGACACCAATTCTCCATGTCTACAGGGGTTGAGTTTGGTGTTGAATGGTGAAGATGTGCTGGTGTCTTTTGGAGGATACAATGGGCGATACAACAATGAGGTAGGAAGCGAGCCTCTCTATCTATTCACTCATCCAATGCTTCCAAGGCTCCCTTAATTTGGTTTTGTATCAGGTCAACTTACTCAAACCCAGCCACAAATCAACCTTGCAAGCAACTATGTCGGGGACACCTGCCCTTGATAGTGGTTCTGGTGTGCAGAATGCGACAAATGGCACAAGAGATGTCGAGTTAGAATTTGAAGCTGGTCAAGAAGGAAAAATTAGGGAAATCAGTATGGATAATAATGAGCCACAGGTAGCACTATTATAACTATCATCTTACATATACGAGCAGATGTAGGTTCTGTCATGTTTGAATCTGTTTCAGTGTTAGATCACCTGGAGAGTCGGTTCAGGCCTGCTCTCCGGTTATACACAAAAAATTTACTTGATATTTGTAAATAGTGAGTTCCCATCTCCTAAACTCCTCCCAATTAATTGCCATAAATTATGCATGTTTGTGTTGTCAAATAGATTTTTGCATGAGTGTATTGTGTAAATATGTTCCACAATTATGCAGACAAACCAAGTTAATGAAGTCATAGCTGCCCTTAAGACAGAAAAGGAAGAATTAGAATCAGCACTCGACAAGGAGAAGTCACAGTCACTTCAGCTAAAGCAAGAGCTGATAGAAGCTGAATCCAAGAACACAGACTTGTACAAGGTAACATCTTTCAATATCAAACTTTGTTAAAAGCCTTATGAGGTTGTTAAGAAAGCACATGCTCGTTCCCATATGTAAAAATGGTTGCATTATATACACACACACACACGCGCGTATGAAATCAAAGCACAAAGATGTAGCTTATCATCACAAGATATACTTGACTTGGAATATATGCAAACCAAACCATATCTAATTCAGAAAATTGTCACTCTTCTTTCTTCAGAACAAATTGTCTAGTGCCTGTCTGTTTATTGATTTCAGCTATTTGTATCTTAATTTGACTCTAGTTGTTGATCATATTATGCAAAAAAAATCTTGGAAACTTTTTACCATAAAATGTACTTTGGAGCATGCCATTCACTTGGTGAAGGAAGACTCCTGCGATTTGCAGAAACTTAAAATTTCAATCGATTCAACCTCATTTGTGATTGGTACAATTCTGCAGGAACTCCAGTCTGTGCGTGGTCAGCTTGCTGCAGAGCAGTCAAGATGTTTTAAACTAGAGGTAACTTTTGGCCCAAAAAGAAATCCTTACGTGACCCTTGTATTGTTGAAGATTGGATAAACAATCATTGCATCTTGGTGTCTTTGAGCTCTATGAGTTGTGAAATTGATATATGTTGTGTTGGTTATTGATGGACATGAACAGGTGGATGTTGCAGAGCTACGACAAAAGCTACAAACAATGGAGACGTTACAGAAAGAAGTTGAAATCCTGCAAAGACAAAAGGCTGCTTCAGAAGAAGCTTATGCAAAACAAAGACAGAGTACAGGAGGGGTGTGGGGATGGCTAGCCGGGACACCCCCACCTATCCAAAAACCAAACGACGCCTAGATACATAGTCAATATTCATTTTTCTTATAGAATCTTGTTTCCTTTTTCTTTCTCTCTTGACCATTGTGGTTCTACTTCTACTTATGGTATTTAGAATTTTGTGCTAAATGATGCTTCTATTTTTTCATTTTTTGTTTGGGATTTTGAACATAGGAGGAAGATTGTATGGTTTCTTGTTTTAGACTAATGAACATATATATATATATATATATATATAGCCAATAGCCTTGGTTTTGTGATTCTTGTTCTAATTCCTAGAAAAGGTAGAAACTTGTAATTCATATTCATATTTTGAGTCTGATACTGAATACACATTGTTATTTTGAGAAAATGTGCAGATATACTTCATCTTTAGATGCATTCATCAGTCATCACTACAAACAGATTACTTCAATGACAAAAGAGTTGTCTTCATATCACTACAATAAAATTGATGTAAAAAATGTTGAAGAGGGTGTTTGATTTGATAGAATACTTTTGAGGAACTTGAATTTTATGAAAGGATTTGGAATTGGAGGGATTTAGATATGGAAAGATTTGGAATTTTTAGTGTATTTGGTTTGTAAGATTTGGAATGGAATTGAATTCCATTATTTATAAAAAAAAATTATTAAAAACAATTATAAAAATAATTAAATTATTCTTTTATTAATTGATTACTACAAACGAATGTTTTAACATATTTTAAACCATCATTACATATAAATCTTACAAAATCCCATGAAATACCAACCTAAAAGTTTCTGTGGTATATGTTTTTCTCTGTG